TTTGACAGGGAACTTCTGGACAATTGAGCTGAAAGAGAGTACAGAGAGGCAAGAACATCAGGGAAAGAGAGCACCTGTGTTCTGAGGACACACACAAGACAGGGTTTGTGGGTCGGGGACATGATCCTTGGAACTAACCTGAAATGACTCAGAAAACCTATGTGGGTGTTTATGCAGACAAATCAGGGCAGATGAACAGGAGAGAGAGATGATGGACAAATGGCAGAATGTTGAACACTGGGTGTTCTGTACAAAATTCTGCACGCCATTCTTGCAAATTTTCTGTAAGCTTGAGGTTGTTTAAAAATGAAAATTATATGCAGAGTGAAACTTGAAAACCCCCAAGCTGTCTGTCAGAAGGTGAAGGCATAAATAGGCTGTGATCCATCCAGACAATGGAATACTATTTAGCACTAATGAGAAAGGAGCTATTGGTGCAGCCACTGTGGAGAGCAGGGTGAATGTTCAGAAAATTAAAAGTAGATCTACCACACGATGCATCAATCCCAACTTCTGGGTATTTATACAAAAAGTAAGATATAAAAATATTAGCTCCAAAAAATAACATGTCCCCTTATGGTGATTGCACTGTTATTTGCAGTAGCCAAGATAGGGAATCAGCTCAAGTGTCCATTGATGGATGAATGGTAAAGAAAAAAATATATTCATACAATGGATAGTATTTTCTATAAACAAGAAGGAAATCAGGCCATTTTCAAAAACATGGATGGATGGATACCTTGTGGACATGTTGCTAAGTGAAGGTAATCAGGGAAAAATGCTGTATGATCTCATGTATATATGAAATCTAAAATGAAACAAAACAAGAAAAAAACCCACAAACCCCCGGAAAACCAGAAAGCCCAGCTCATAGATGCAGAGAACAGATTGGTGGTTTCCAGAGGATGGAGATGGGACTGGGTGTAATAGATGAAGAGGGGCAAAAGATATGAACTCCTAGTTATGAGATGAATGAGTTCTGGGGAGGTAATGAACAGCATGGAAACTATAGTTAATAGCACTGTATTGTTGTATACTTGGAAACTGTAAGACAGTAGATCATAAACGTTCTCATCATAAGAAAAATATCCCATTACTGTGCAAGGATTTCAATATTAAGTACTTATTGTCCGGGCTGCTCAGAACTTTTGAGGTCTGAACAGAACAGAACACTCACGGAGCAAGAGGTAGCTGACCATCTTCTTCTGGAGAAGGGGACTGGAGATGCAGCAGGAGAAGTTCTGAACATCCCCATCCTGGATGGTCACATTGGACACCACCGTGAAGAGACCTGTTGTTGGCGAGGCTGAGAGGTGGGTCATAGAAGGTAGGGGCTGTCCTCTAAAATCTCTCCATTCCGCCTGGGGCTCTGGGAACCAGCCTTCTGAGGTGCACTGTGCCCAGACAGTTTCACCTTGGACAGCTTGCACTTGGATTCTGGGCATCCCGCCCAGACCTGTGGGAAGAGATGCCCATTCCAGTCTACACAACCACCAGTGCTTTCATCAGAAAAGTACAGATATTGAGAATTCCAGCAGAGATTGGGATTTTTTCACAGACTACTTACTCTGTGTAATATTTATATGCTGTATGTTACCCTTGTTCCCAGAATGCACAGGACAAAACAAAAAAGGACCAAGAATGTCAAAAACCATTCTATACTGCAAAATTAGTGTCTTTTCCTCCCTGTGTCTCTGTCCCTCCTTCTGCCTCTGTCCTTCCCTTTCTACCTCTGCTCCCCTCTTTCTGGATTGGCGTAGAAAAGGGAGAGAAAAGGGTGTCCTGAACGGGACTTCCCAGGAATCACTGCTTCTGGTGCCAACATGTTAGTGCTTTTGTGGGATGTGCTCAGGCTTGGGCTACAGTGGGATGATCTGCATTGGGCATCAGGTTTGGGGGAGGGGACTCGGGGGACAATGAACTCCAGCAGCTCACGCTTACCTGCCACCATCAGCCACAGCCTGACCTCTGCAGACATGTTGCCATCTTTGAAGTTACAGTGGAATGTTCCATTATCAAAAACTGTCACGTTGTGGATCTTCACTGTGGCTTTTCCCTGGTCCAGCCCAGCACTCAGGAAAGTGGTCCTTCCCTGGTACTCTCTCATCTGTTCTTCCTTCATGTCTGTCCCATTCTTGTGCAGGTGCACGACTTGGGATGGCTGATCCCTGTACCACCGAAGCTCCATGTCCTCGGCACTGATATTGAGGGACAGATGGCATGGTAGCTCCACATTTTCGCCCAGCACCGCCAGAACAGGCATTTTAGGTCCAAGGATGGAGAAATCAGCTTTCCCTTATGAGATCAGATCAGAAAGCCCTAGTTAGCCTGGGTCTGAGGAGACAAGGGCCCTCCCACCGAGACCTAGGGTTCTCTGGGAAGTACTGCTTGGATCCCTGGCTGACAGCTGCTGTGGGTAGGTGCCAGCCAGCTCCCTCCGACATTCTCTTCCATATGGGGTCATCCTCCTAGCATGGGTGAGGGGAGCTCTCCTACCGTTTGCAGGGATGCTGCAGGACAGGAGCTGCAGGACGATGAAGATGGTGGAGCAGCTGGGTGGAAAGATGACTCGACCATGTGTGTTTGCCATGCCTGTGGGAACAGAGAGGCCTGAGCCCTACACATCGGAGGCTGAGGTAATTTCTGTCTCTGCCAGTCTCTTTCTCTGTCTATCTGTCTTTCTAGTTCTCTGTTTGTCTGTCTTGGTGGGAGGACAGGCGGCACCAGCAGGCTAATGGGAGTTAAAGGAACTTGGCTGGGGGAGGGAAAGGTCTCACTTTTATCTCTCTTGGCCCCTGTCACCCACACATAAGGTATTCATTCTACAGATGGAGAGACAGGGGCCTCCACCTGCCCTGTTTGGAATCTATTTTCAGATATAATTTCTCTTATCCTCATCTGTCCACAGAGTGATTCAGACACATCCTCCAGTGAATGGGCTCCGTCTCCCCACTGACTGGTGTAAGAGTATTTCCCGATTTCTCTCTGTTCAAACATGAACACGAGGCATGCTGGGGAAGGGAACACACCTTTGAGGCAGTGAATCCATGGTCAGAACTATAAATGTCCACCCCCTTCAAGCCCCTTGTCCCTGTTGCTCCCAAAGAAACCTCTGCAGGTGAAGTGGGGGAGACAAGCCTCAGGGTGCCTTGGCTGTGATGGCCTGAGCCAAAGACATACCAAAGCTTTTTTATGGTGAATTCAATTTCAAGTACCCATAATCTGAGACTCATCTGCCGTTCTGGGGGATTTCACCCAGCAGAGCTTTGAAGATTTGGCGTTTATGTAAAGCATGAGGAGGTGTGTTAGTCGATACTCTAATCCTGTTGGACGCTTGTCTTTCTTTGGTGAAAGTCCCTGGAGCCTCCCTGTCACTGACAAGTAGGGACAGTGTGTAGAAAGTAGAGATATACATGAAAGCCCTTAAAATAGAAGACACTCACCTGGCCAAGTCTGGCTCTAGGTTTCCCAGGAATCAATTTAATTCTCTGTAAGTTCCACGTGAGGCATAGAAAAAGTCTTCTGGTGGTGTTTGGAGAGAGGAGCAGCTGAGTTTTCCAGTTTCTGCAGAGTTCTCCTATTGCTCTTTGTCAAAATAGCAACACACCTATTTAGCAGTTGCAACAGGAATAAAAATACGTAGGCCAAGTGCTTCCTACAGGGTGTGGTCAACGGAACTGAACACACTAACTGGGAGTAACAAGGCCCTGTCACAGGAGATAAGGGGAGAGGAGACTACACAAGGCAGTCCATGGAAGGATGGTTGTCAGTCCAAAGCCAAGAGCCTCAAAGAGGAGACATGGCTCTCGAGTGGTAGGATCTGGGCCAAGGGCAGAAACTGGAGGATTCAGATAAAGTTGTTCCACTATCAAAAGACCTCCAGTCCTCAACAGGCTGGGCTGTTTTCTTTGGTAAAGTTTCTCATGATCAGGTTGAAGTTGGCCAATTTCTGGCATTGCCACTGGAGACTCCTGTGTGGGAAATTAGGCAACATCCCCCTCATCTCTGTGGCCATGGCAGTCTGTTCTCCTTGGGAGGGCCCCCTTTGGCCAGGTTCAGAACACTCACCTCGTGCACCTCTTGTGTGAGTGAGACACTTGACTAAACCCTGCCCATTCTTCCCTCTTGTTGGCTCACTAATCTAGACATGTTCTGGGAGAGTTTTGGTGGGAACAGAGGTAGAAGGAAAGCTGCATGGCCTTCTTGGTGGTGGAGTGTTTAATTTCATTTGGCAGAATGTTATGGAATAAAGGTTTGTGCCTCCTTTCCCAAAGTCAGTGCCCACACAAGGGCTGATGCTGTTTCCCTCTTCTATAAAAACATGCAGAATTATGCTTGCCACTTTTTCATCTCCCTGTGCGTTGCTTTAAGCAGATAATGACCTTGGCTAAAAGCCAACTCCTATTTACTTAGGAGTCATGATGGAGGACTGGGGATGTAACATCTGGAAGGGGACACAAGATTCAACAACCACAGTGTAAACAGGTGATGCCTGTTTCACAAAATGAATCTGGAAGGTGGGCTCACCTGGAGAAGGTTCTTTCCTGGGCATGAGCTCATGCATGGCCCACAGTCTTTTATCAAAGTAGCAAGAACTACAGGGGACATTTTCCAACTGCCTGAAGGGCAGGGTGGAGACTTGATTGAGGACAGACTCCTGAGGTGCAAAGGGAAGACAATGTGGAAGGCCGGACATAGGGGTTCACATACGAGGTTCCCATTGACAAGAAATGTGCAGAGGAGGTAAATCCAGAGAGACAGATAGCAGATTT